TGTTGGCATTTAGCGAGCACAGAGGGGGGCATCAGGTGAGCAAGCTAGTGAAACGTTGCATGCGCAAAAGAGAAGGTCTGCACACATCCAAAAACGTATTTTAAATGCAAAATTGATTTCCGTGCGCTCGAAAGACTTTTTTCTTTGCGAAACGAACATTTTCTCCACAAACTCAGATCGCGCGCGTGCAAAATGCACTTTTGTGCGCTCAAAATATGATCTTTCGCGCGCAGAATTGTGGCAGAAATGTAAGCCCATAGGCAGCGCAGCTCTGACAGGGCTCGTCTTAAATGGAAAAACGGTGAGCAGTAGGGCAGCCTCCGTGTATGACGCTCGTGTTTATGAAACGAGCGAAAGATGTTTTCCTTTCGACTCGCTAAATCAGAAATAGCCCAGAAGTCTCCCTGCCGCGCGCCTATAAATAGCATACTGATCAGTGGCCTTTTAATTAGCACTTTAATTCCAGCTCGAGCCTTTGTTTGGAGTGCCGTTACCGATCCGGCGGCGGAGCAGGTGCTGCGGATTACAGATCACATTCATCTTTTATTCTCGCACATCTGTGGCTAAATTGATTACCGCCGGGTGCCTAAGTGGATTTTTACGTTGGGACAATGGGGTTGAGGAGGTGCGCCCGCTCCTCCATTCATGATGAGCTTCTGTTCACTTGGATGCTGTTAAATAGCCCGTCAAGAGAGCGCTCGAGTCCCGTTCGGACCTTAGAATAGAAACAGACTGCGGGCGCCGTTAGGGCCCCTGACAACTTCAAAACACATAAACATAAGCGTTATTGCTTTTTAGTTAGTCATACCAAAAACAATAACTGGTCACACCAAAAAATTTAATAAAATAAATAACTTTTACAATAAAGTACAAAAAAAATTGATTTCACTCAATTTTTGATTCACGAGTTCACAGTTCACACCACAACTAATAACAGTACGGAGAAGTGAAATCCTTGGAATCACTTGCAGAGCGAATTTTTTCAGGCTGATGAATGATTAAAACATTGACAGCCAATCAAACATACGAATTTAAACTGTGCATTGTTAAAATAAATCTAGGGTCCACTGGTGTGTACGCTAATACAGTTACCATTATAATTTTCGTTTTGGTGTGAAACAGCCCTTAACAACACCACGTACTGAATGTCAGCAGATCCATTACTCCACTCCGGGTTTTCCATTTCTCGCTCCTCGAGCGAAACTCTACTCCGAGTTCACTCTATAAATTTGTTAAATGTGAAATTAAATCACGTTTAAACTATTTTCATAGAGTTTTCTCAACACATATTTTTAACGAATTTTCAGTCGCCCATTCGCTCACATTCACCCTCTCTGTCATTAATTTTTGTCAAAACGTTTGGACTATTGCTCATCTGGCAATATTGTACAATTTATATATATATATATATATATATATATATATATAGTATTTATATAAGTGTTTACATGAACAAACATATACCGGTTATCTTATGCTTAATAACCCAACATCACATAAGGTCATGTAAACAGCTTAAACTGTGTTCAAGTGGTTCACAACTGGAAAAAAGCTAGGCTATTTCAAAATCTCAGAAACGTGGTTTTGTGATCTGATTTCCAAAATGCCAGTTAAATCACAAAATCATGCAAAAAAGTCAGTGGTTCTGCTGTCTATTCAGGGCCCTTAAACATGTCCCGAAGCATCAGAATCCCCTGAAGCTGACAAATAACCCAGAATCATCTTGTTTTAGTAGCTCAGGATTAGTAGGCATCAAAAAGACATCATTCAATCAAACCGTGACACCAAAGAGGAGGTTAGACGTGTTAAAGGGGTCATATGACGTTGCTAAAAAAAACATTCTTTTGTGTATTTGGTGTAATGAAATGTGTTTATGTGGTTTAAGGTTAAAAAAACACATTATTTTCCACATACTGTACATTATTGTTTCTCCTCTATGCCCCGCCTTTCTGAAACGCATCGATTTTTACAAAGCTCATCGTTCTGAAAAGCGAGGTGTGCTCTGATTGGCCAGCTATCCAGAGCGTTGTGATTGGCCGAATACCTCAAGCGTGTGACGAAAATGTTACGGCCCTTACCATATTGTGATGCCGTCTCCCAGCACGACGAGACAAAAACATTAAAGGGGTCATTTGATGCTGCTAAAAATAACATTATTTTGTGTATTTGGTGTAATGAAATGTGTTTATGCGGTTTAAAGTTCAAAAAACACATTATTTTCCACATACTGTACATTATTGTTTCTCCTCTATGCCCCACCTTTCTGAAACGCGTCGATTTTTA